GACCGACCATAACAGTACAGAATAACAGAGTGGAAGGGATCTTGGAGGTCTTCTAGTCCAACCTCCTGTTCAAGCAAGAAATCCTATACCATTTCAGATAAATGGTTGTCCGTTCTCTTCTTTAAAATCTCCAGTGCTGGAGTATCCACAACTTCAGGAAGCAAGCCATTCCACTGATTAATTGTTCTAACTGTCAGGAAATTTCTCCTTATTTCTAGGTTGGATATCTTTAGTTTCCATCGTTTCTTGTCTTGCTTTCAGGTGCTTTGGACAATAGATTGACCCCCTCTTCTCTGTGGCAACCCTTGGAACACTGTTATCATGTGTCACCCCTAGTCCTTCTTTTCATCAAACTAGACCTACCCAATTCCTGCAACCGTTCTTCATGTTTTAGCCTCCAGTCCCCTAATCGTCTTTGTTGCTCTTCTCTGCACTCTTTCCAGAGTCTCAACATCTTTCCTTTCACCACAAAATGTTTCTTTTCACCACAAAATCAGCAAGAGACATAATTTGAGCCACTGAATTTCACCTCCTGCCTAGTGCAGGAATCCAGATTATTCAATACAGGCAGTCCTCGACTTACGACCACAAACTTTTTGTTGTTAAGTGACACCTTTGTTAAGTGAATTTTGACCCATTTTAATGACCTTTCTTGCTGCAGTTGTTCAGTGAATCGCTGCAGTTGATAAGTTAGTATCACGGTTGTTAAGTGAACCTGGCTTCCCCATTGACTTTGCTTGGGAGAAGGTCGCAAAAGGGGATCATGTGATAGTGCAGCTATCATAAATATGAGTCAGTTGCCAAGCATCTGAATTTTGATCCCATGATCATGGGGACGCTACAAAGGTCATATGTGTGAGAAGCGGTCATAAGTCACTTTTTCCAGTGAGGTTGTAACTTTGAACGGTCACTAAATGAACTATTGTAAGTCGAGGACTACCTGTCTGCAAGATAAATGGTTACCTTGATTTCACTTAGACACATTCAGAGAAGGGATCTGAGCCAGTTCTTTACATTGACAGTTCTGCTCTCAAAGTGCTTCTATGATTAGGATTTATTTCTTCTAAAAGTACCACGAATCAAAATTTATTTTGTTACTTAAATGCATTATTAGTCCATAACTCTGGAAGGAAAGAGCACAGGTCTTGAGCTTCTGTGGGACATTAATTTATTTAAAAGATCTGTATGGCCAGCCATCTTAAAGCCCACGGGTGGGTGGGGAAGACCTGATACTTTCCCAAAAATATTATCATATTACCCCAACATCTTTTTTCCCCAAAGCTAAATAACTTCAATTTCTTCCATCGCTCTTCACAAAATGTGGCTACTGCAGGTAGTCCTCGACTTGCAACCATAGTTAAGACCCAAATTTCCATTGCTAAGCACAACAGTTGTTAAGTGAGTTCTGCTCCATTTTTATCACCTTTCTTGCCACAGTTATTAAGTGAATTACTGCAATTGTTAAGTTAGCAACACTGTTGTTAAGTGAATCTGGCTTCCCCATTGACTTTGCTTGTCAGGAGGTCGCACAAGGGGATCACATGATCCCAGGACCCCCCAACTGTCATAAATGCATGCCAGTTGCCAAGCATCCAAATTTTGATCATGTGACCATGGGGATGCTGCAACAATCATACGTGTGAAAAACAATCATAAGGCACCTGTTTTCAGTAGTGTTGCAACTTCAAACGGTCACTAAATGAATGGCTGTAAATTGAGGACTACCTATAGTTTCCTGATCACCTCTTGTACCCCTTCTCAGAAACTGCTGCAATTTTTTTGGATTCCTTTTTAGCTCACGGCGCCCAGAAATTGGCAAGATCCTCAGGGTGGGATCCAAACCGGGAACCCCAATTTCTCACAATTCAGAAATAGAATGCAGGTAGTCCTCGACTTACAACCACAATTGAGCCCAAAATTTCTATTGTTAAGTAAGTTTTGCCCCATTTCACGACATTTCTTGCCACAGTTGTTAAGTGAATCACTGCAGTTAGTGCCTGGTTGTTAAGTGAATCTGGCTTCCTCATTGACATGGCTTGTCAGGCCACCAAAAGTGATCACATGACCCCGGGACACTGCAACGGTCATAAATCTGACCCAGTTGCCAAGCATCTGGATTTTGATCACGTGATCACAGGGATGCTGCAAAGTTTGTAAGAGTGAAACACGGGCATCAGTCACTTTTTTCAGTAACTTTGAACGGTCTAAATGAACTGTTGTAAGTCGAGGACTCCCTGTAGAATAAAATATAAATCTTTTATTGGCCAAGTGTGATCAGACACACGCATAAGCTCACAGTGTACATATAAGATAATTTTGTCATTTTTTTTACTGTGAGCACTCTGGCCCATCTTAAAAATGAAATTCTGCTGCCTGCTCTCAAGAGAAAGCGTATATCTAGCCAAACACACACATTAACACACCTATACTCATGCTATATACCATACATACATATATACTTGCACCATATGTGTGTGTGTATTATGTATGTATGTATGTATGTATATATGTATATGTATATGTATATGTATATGTATATGTTTTTCGGTACATAAAATAAAACAGAATAAGAGAATTGGAAGGGAGCTTGGAGGTTTTCTAGTCCAACCCACTGCTTAGGCAGGAAACCCTATATCACTTCAGACAAATGGTTATCCAACATCTTGTTAAAAACTTCCAGTGTTGGAGCATTCACAACTTCTGGAGGCAAGTTGTTCCACTGATTCATTGTTCTCAGTGTCAGGAAATTTCTCCTTAGTTCCAGGTTGCTTCTTTCCTTTATTAATTTCCACCCATTGCTTCTTGTCCTGCCCTCAGGTGCTTTGGAAAATACTTTGACTCCCTCTTCTTTGTGGCAGCCCCTGAGATATCGGAACACTGCTATCATGTCTCCCCTAGTCCTTCTTTTCATCAAACTACACGTACCCAGTTCCTGCAACCGTTCTTCATATGTTTTAGCCTCCAGTCCCCTAATCTTCTTCGTTGCTTTTCTCTGCACTCTTTCTAGAGTCTCCACATCTTTTTCACATCGTGGCAACCAAAACTGAATGCAGTATTCCAAGTGTGGCCTTACCAAGGCATTATAAAGTGGTATGGATATACACATACACATTAATCACTGTCCATTTTGAATACATGGCGGAAAAGAGGAAACTTCTATAAACCGCAATAGGTCACAAATCACAGTTACAATCATGAATCATAAGTTACCAACAACAATGGATAAATCCAATGAAGAAGACGACGGTAGGAAAGATGGGAGAGGATGAGAAATTGAAATTGACGCTTCCTTCCAGGCATCTTTGAATGGCCCAGCAACTTTTGCCTGCAGCCCCCCCTTCCCATCCAAGCAGGACCTGAATCTGTCACCCACTATTATTCCAAGATCTTCGGTCTGCATGTCTGTCTGTCTGTCTGAAGCATGAGCAAGCCAAGGATCTCCCATCTTTCTTCCACCCCTTTTTTTTAAAAAAAAAATATTAAATTTCCAAAGATTAAAATACACAGTACAAAAAGAAACATAATATACAAAAAAGCAAGAAATACACACACACACACAAAATATATATACTGCTCAAAAAAATAAAGGGAACACAAGCAGAAGACATCCGAGATCTGAATGAATGAAATAGCCTTATTAAATACTTTGTTCTTTACATACAGTAGTTTATACACTGCTCAAACACCTAAAGGGACCACAAAACTACTGTATGTAACAAACGAAGTATTTAATAAGGCTATTTCATTCATTCAGATCTCGGATGTCTTCTGCGCGTGTTCTCTTTATTTTTTTTGAGCAGTGTATATAAACAACCGAAAACAAACATATCCAAATTTCAATACTAACAACAACTTTTCTGCATCGGTATCTCTAGCCAATTTAACCTCTTTACACAAATTCTACTTCTAAATATCTCCCATCTTTCTTCCACCCCCCTTTTTTTTTAAAAAAAAATAATATTTATTAAATTTCCAAAGATTAAAATACACAGTACAAAAAAGAAACATAATACACACAAAAAAAAAACCAAGGAAAAAAAACCACACACACACACACACACACACACACACCCCCAAAAAATATAAACAACCAAAAACAAACATATCCAAATTTCAATACTAATAACAACTTTTCTTCATCGGTATCTCTTAGCCTATTTTTTTAATTTTAATTTGATTTATATGCCGCCCCCTCAGGGCAGCTTACAATGCGTTAAGCAATAGCCTTCATCCTTTTGTATATTTCTACAAAGTCAGCTTATTGCCCCCACAAACTGGGTCCTCATTTTACCTACCTTAGAAAGGATGGAAGGCTGAGTCAACCTTGAGCCTGGCGAGATTCGAACCTGCAGTAATTGCAGGCAGCTGGTCTTAATAACAGGGTGCTTTAGACCACTGTACTACCAAGGCTCCTCCTATTTAACATGTTTACACAAATTCTACTTCTAAATATCTCCCATCTTTCTTCCACCACCACCAACCCTCCCCCCCTTTTTTTTAATGCATTGGTGGCAGATTCATGAAGGCAGAACCTGACATTTGCACCCCCACTCCCCCTCCCCCAGCCCCAAAAACCAAAAACAAACCCAGGTACTTTCCATTCATTATTCATCCCAGCCTCTTTCTGCAAAAAAAAGAGAGAGAGAGAGGAGCCCAATTTGAATTTCCTGGCTGTCTTGTGGGGGATCAAATCTTCGACCCAACTGAGGGGGGGGAGGGGGGACCCCAGCAACCCAGCCCAACACCCCCCCCGCAAGCCATTCGAGCATTATAGATCCCTGGGGATCCCATTGGGGTGTGTGGGTGTGTGGAGATCCTTGCCTACCTCCCCCCCCCTCTCTAGAGGCGCCTGAGGGGAGCCAGGATTCAAAGCGGATTCCCTCATAGGAAAAAGAGGGGGGGGGTTAAGTGGGGGAGGGGGAGGGATATGGCCTGAGGGAGAGGGGGGAGGGGAAAACCCACTCGCCCTCCCCCACCTCAGGCTCAGCCATGGGACGTACCCGACTAGGCGAAAAGGGCAAAGCGGCTACTCCGGAGTCGGGCGAGCGAACCACCGTTTGCCGTCAGTCCGTCAACCGGCCGGGTGGAAAAAAAACCTCTCAGCCGGCTCTTTTTTTTTTTTTTTTTTTATAACGCCTTTCACTGCGCAGGCGCCGCCTTTGCCACGACCGGCTTACGTTGCCACTTTGCAAAGGATGCCGGGTAGCCGGGAGAAAGAGGAGAGAAGGGAGGGGAATGGGGGAAGTAGAAGAAGAAGAAGAAGAAGAAGAAGGGGGGGGGAAAGAGACCGCAAGACGCTCTACGCATGCGTCAAGGCAGGGCCCGCCTCTCGGCCTGGAAAGGACGCCACGAAGCGCCTCCGCGCGGGGTGACGGACAGGGCCGCGCGCCGGAGGTGGGGGGGGGGAAGAGAGGAGGAAGAGGAAGGGCGCACGGATTGGTGGGCTCCGCCGCGAGCCGGTCCGAAAGAGGCGCTGATTGGTCAGGAGGCGCCGGGTGCTTTCGCAGGGATGATGGCCGGGCTGTGAGCGCGTGGCGGATTGGCGCGTGCCCAGCTAGAGACGAACGTGGGAGGAGCAAGAGTTGGAAGGGACCTTAAAGGTCATCTAGTCCAGCCCCCCGCCGGAACTGTAGATGCGGGTGCTGGCTGTGAGTAGCGTAAAGGAAAAGGGAATCAGGACTGGGTAGTGTATATGTAAAGCAGAGGTCTTCAAACCTGGCAGCTTTAAGACTTGTGGACTTCAACTCCCAGAATTCTCCAGCCAGCAGAGCTCCCAGAATTCTCCAGCCAGATTCTCCCAGAGAATTCTGGGAGTTGAAGTCCACAAGTCTTAAAGCTGCCAAGTTTGAAGACCTCTAATGTAAAGAATTAAAATGATTTAAAGCAGGACCCAACTCGTATCTTTCCAGTTTTGCATGAGGGATGCAATATGAAGTTTATTTTATTTATTTATTTATTTATTTTATGTGATTTCTATGCCGCCCTATCTCCAGTAGACTCAGGGCGGCTTACAACAATAAAAACAAACCCAATAAAACATAAAATACATACAAAATACATACATGTATAAATATAAATTTAAAACATATATTAAAAACCCATTAAAATAATCAAACCCCCTCAGTCCAGGTTGGGCGATGTAAACAGCCGTGTTTTTAATTCGCGGCGGAAGGTGCGAAGGTCAGGAGCCAGCCGAAGCCCCAGGGGGAGTTACAGGTATACCTGCACAGAGAAATGCAAATTGAGCAGGTCGGTTTCAGAAAAGGCTCAGCGAAATGAATCACAGGGCTGGAAGGGACCTTGGAGGTCTTCTAGTCTAACCCCATGCCTGTGGTAGGAGTCCTTTTGCCATCTTGGACATGCGGTTGTCCGATCTTTTCTTAAAAACCTCCAGCAATGGAGCACTCACAACTCCGGGAGGCAAACTCTTCCACTGATTAATGATTCTCACTTGTCAGGGAAATTCCTTCTTATGCAATAGTGACGAATATCTGTGGCTCGGGTGTAAGTTGAGGGTAAAGGTTCATACTCCGAGCTTGTGGGTTGGTTTCTGAACGGTTCGTTACTAGGCTAGCTAACACCTTGGGCAGAGTTTAGGGTAGTGATGGGTAACCTTTTCTGGACCGAGTGCCCAAAGCATCCGTGTGTGCGCCCAATCCCCCCCCCCACTTGGGCCAATGTATGCGCCCTGCCCCCCTGCACATGCGCATGCGTGGGCCCACATGTTCCACACACACATGCACATGTGGCCCCACACACATGGCCCGTGCATGAATGCGTAGCCCCCCACACGGGCCTTGCCCCTCCCATGCATGCACACACGGATACTGATATCCCCTAAACTCCACTGAAGATGTTACCTAGCCTGGTAACAAAACATTCGGAAATCAACCCACAAGCTCGGAGAATTCCTTATTTCCAGATTGGATCGGAGGAGGAGTTACCTGGTATAGCCTTCCAGTATTAAAAAAAAACCTTAAAACCAAACTATGGCAAACCTAGACAGCATATTAAAAAGCAGAGACATCACCTTGCTGACAAAAATCAGGTTTTCCCAGTGGTACTGTATGGCTGCCAGAGTTGAACCATAAGGAAGGCTAAGCCGCAAAGAATTCAGGGGTGAAATCCAGCAGGTTCTGACAGGTTCTAGAGAACCAGTAGTGGAAATTTTGAGCAGTTCGGAGAACCGGCAAATACCACCTCTGGCTGGCCCCTGAGTGGGGTGGGAATGGAGATTTTCCAGTATCCTTCCCCTGCCACGCCCACCAAGTCACACCACACCCACCAAGTCACACCACGCCCACCAAGCCACGCCCACAGAACTGGTAGTTTAAAAAAAGTTGGATTTCACCACTGGAAGAATTGATGCTTTTGAATTGTGGTGCTGGAGAAGAGGGTTGAGGGTCCCTTGGGCTGCAAGGAGATCCAATCGGTCAATATTAAAGAAAATCAACCCTGGCTGTCCTTTTGGAAGGACAAATTCTGAAGCTGAAGCTCAAGTACTTTGGCCACCAAATGAGAAGAAAGGACTCTAGAGAAGACCCTGTTATTGAGAAAGACTGAAAGCAAAAGGAGAAATGGATGGCAGACGATGAGAAAGTTAGTGTCACTGACGCAGTGAACATGAATTTGGGAAGACTCGGGGGGAAAATGGAGGACAGAGGGGCCTTGGTGTGTGCCTGTGGTCCATGAGGTTGCAAAGATTGGGACACAACTATCCCAAAGGAGCTTTTTCAAGAAGCAACTGGACTTACTTGTTTTTTCTTTGAAGACTTTCGCTTCTCATCCAAGAAGCTTCAGCTCTGACTGGATGGTGGAGGATGGGAAGATTTATACTCCTTGCAGACAGCTGGTCATTTGCATTCTTTTTAGAGAGTCATTGAGGCCACTTGGAGGTTTATCTGTGTCCAAGTGGCCTCAACGACTCTCTAAAAGGATGCAAATGATCAGCTGCCTGCAAAGAGTATAAATCCTTCCATTCCCCACCATCCAGTCAGAGCTGAAGAAGCTTCTTGGATGAGAAGGAAACGTCTTCAAAAAGAAAATCCAGTTGCCTCTTGAAAAAACACCTTTGGGACAATCATGACTGGATGACTGAGAATCTCCACAGACAACTTAGCGACTGAAGAAAGAAAACTAAAATCTGATAGGGAATGATATATGCTTCATTTAGTAATTTCATACTTACTAGTATTTATCTCTTCCCACTTATTACTATAACCATGTTATAGTATGTTATGTATAGTATGTGTTACTGTGTATACACATACAATGACAATAAAGTTTATTTTATTTATTTTTTATAACCATGTTGCTTGTATCTTTCAATTATATTGTTTGTATTTGTTTCCTAGTATGATTTGATAGCTTATTAGTAACCTTGACTATCACTAGGTGTTGTATCTTTTTATTCTTTTTTTTTTATTAAAAAGTTTTACAAAGAAAATTTCCCCCCCCCCAATTTTCCCCCCACCCTTTGTGCTTGCGTAAATTTAACATTTCTAACCCAAATCTTTTCCCATGTTTCTATCATCACGGGTTCCTGAAAGTTTTGTGCCCATTTTATCATGCAATCCTTAACCAATTCCGTTTCTGAATCGATTTCCAGTAGTGCATTATACAACCTTTTAATATGCATTTGACTTTGATCTCTAATCTGTTTTACCAGGTTTTCCTCATTTTGCATAACACCCATTTTTTGATCTTCCCTCCATCTAGCATGAAACTGACCATACTGAAACCAAGTATAGATTATCCCTTCTTCTTTCAATACATTTAAAGGTTTCAATTGCAATTTACCCCTTTCCATAAAAAGAAGCTCTTTATAAGTAATCACCTCCTGTTTTTGTTCTATACTTAATATTTTCTATTGCATGTCTGGGGTATCTTTTTATTCTTGATGAATGTATTTTATTCTCTTTATGAACACTGAGAGCATATACACCAAAGACAAATTCCTTGTGTGTCCAATCTCACTTAGCCAATAAAGAATTCTATGCTATTCTATTCATGGAACAATTTGTCTATGTAGCCTCAAGGGGGCACTGTTAGATAGTCCTTATGCAGCACCATCCTTAACCTCTATTTTGATTTTTTAGTATGTTTCTGTCTCTTTATTTCTCATTCAGCCTTGGGTTAATCCCCAATTTAAGAATATTCAAATGTGCTCCAGAGCCATATTTTTCGAACTTGGCAACTTTAAAGTGGGTGGACTTCAACTCCCAGAATTCCCCAGCCAGCTGAAGTCTGCACATCTTAAAAGTTGCCAAGTTTGAAAAAGGCCGCCCCAGAGAATTCAATTGTGTGTAGTATGATCAAATTACCCCAGGCAATTTGCAAGCTTCAGCACTACTTTGATTTACAGGCTGTCCAAAATAAAAGGCATGCCTTGCTCCCCTTAACATTACACTTAACTGGATCGATGGAGTTGCAAATGGGGAGGGGGAGTTAATTGACTCAGCAAACTAACTTCAATTTAGCTCAATTTTGCATGGAGTTAAACGTTTTTTTATTATTATTAAAAAGTTTTATAAGAAATACAAATATTTTCTCCCCCACCCACCCTTTCCCCCTCCCCCCTTCCCCCCCACCCCCCTCCCTAGACTTCCCAGAACGGGCACAGGGTATAGCATTCACAAACATAAAGCTAAGATATGCTAACAAATTATTGCATTCATATTCTCCCTAAATCTTTAACTCCTTATAACTCAAGAACTATAAATATAAACTACTTAAAAATATTTCATTCATAAGCTATATGAATCTTCTTGTTCGGATACTTTTTTTGCATATAGTCAATCCATCTTCTCCATTCTGATATGTATCTTTCATTTGAATGATCTTTAAGATATGATGAAATTTTTGCCATCTCAGCCAGATGCACAACTTTTAATGTCCATTCCTCAATGGTAGGTGGATCTTCCTTCTTCCAGTACTGTGCCACCAGTAACCTGGCAGCTGTTATTAAATTCAAAACCAACTTAGTCTCTATTACAGTACAATCCGTGACTATTCCCAACAAAAAAAAACTGGTGTAAATTTAATTTTTTTTCCTTAAAATATTTTGAATAATCCACCATATTTTTATCCAAAAAGCCTTAATGCATGGAGTTAAACTTAACGGCTACCCAGTCTGCTGCGGGATGGAAACACCCAAATCTGGGGGATTCTCCCCTTGGCTCAGAACTCCAAAGAAAGAGAAGAAAAGAAAAAGAGATGG